ATCTGCCCCTGCGGTCCTTTTTTAATGAAATAAGCTTGAAGCCTGACTCTGTTACCCAGTTCAAATGAATAATATATGGAAGCCTGAATAGATAAATGACATGTTACTGCTGCACGGGAAAGCTTACAAAGCTCCATTAGGGCTGGGTTTTCAGTATAATGACATCTATTCGAAACCTTCTTCAGTCTTATATGATCTATGGGAAGATAGTATGAATTAAAAATAATAATGAACTGATATTGGTGGCAGAAGTTTTAATGTCAGCATTCTGGAGCCTGAAGTAGGAGAGTTATAGCCAATTCAATGATAGTTGGGATATGTAGTGAATTCAAGACAGGTCTGAGCTATTTACAAGGACCCTACCTTAATAATAACAATAATAATATCAATAACAATAAAAATTAACAATGACAGTGCAGGTCAAGTGACTTCATTGTTTTAGAATAGCATAGCATAATATTCTAGAGACTTTATTTTCATAAACGCAGACTGTTAGTATTCTATTTTACCAGTGTTTCTCAACCTCGTTTTTAACGATTTAAAAGGCAGTCTTTAAGGATTTAAAAAAATATACACACTTTTTTCCCACTAAACACCTGTGTTAAATGATTTCTATTACAACATTATTTTAAAATATCTAAACATAAAGTCAAGTATAAAGGCCTTGTGTTCATACCTTTTGCTATAATAAAACTATTCAGTGTGCTGCATTGTTGCCCTTCTTCTGTTTAGCATAGCCTCTCATGGCTTCATCCTTGGCATTTCTTTCTCTATTCCTATTCCTTACATTCAACATGATTATAAATAGAAATGTTAAGCTCACGCAGTAGTGTACAGTTAAATGACTGTGGCGAGTCTGAACAGAAAATAGTAAGAGAAGGCAGACAAGAGTGGCCTTGTACTCAGAACCTTCTTTGGAGTTGAAACTGACTGGGGATTGAGAGGTCTGAAACCTAAGCAAATAGTTAACAGCTTTGAGTGAGGACACAACTTCCGCCTACTCTGAAACTTTCGAGGAGAAACAAACAAAAACTGCAGCAGGTTCACCTCTGTCAAACAGGACAACAGGAAGAATAATCACCAAAGAGGCCCAGAGAAGGGACAAATTCAAGATTGTAGAATATGTGTTCAAAAATTAAAAATTACTAAGTTATTAGGAAGACATAATTATATTCCAATTAATGTCATATCAAGAAATAATCTATGACTTTTAAATCATCAACGGAAAAAGAAACAAAGGTGTTGGAATGAGTCTAAAAGTGGATGTAAAATCAATTTACCACCTGGTGTTGGAGAGGGCAGGAAAACAAATTGGCCTTCTGGAAGAAGGATCTTACATTTCTTTGGGTAAGTTGGCTTTGATTGTAAGCATGGCTGAACCTTCTCTCCCACTCAAATTTCACTTTGTTTACAACTGTTATGTACAATTTACAGAAAATAAAGTAGACCTCAATCAGTCCTTCATAGAATATAATATTAAGTGGATTAGATACTGCCTAGTTTTTCAATGACGAATCCTGATGTTGTTTTGGTACATTCCAAAGTCTTTCATATAGTTTTAATACAGTTAAAAAGAATGTGCAGCTCTCTTAGAACCTATGACCTCTGTGTTCTTATGAAACCGATGAAATCCATTTCTACATTGTAAAGCCAGTGTTCCCAGGCTCTGCACTGACTGTTACATTGCAGAGTTGTCTAGAATCCCAGGAAGTTTGAATTCAAGTGGCCATTTTAACATTTTTTAAAGATTTGTTTTTCTTTATTTGTATGTTTGTATGTGCAAATATTTGTGCACAAAAGCTCACATGTGTGCTCACTGTGGGCCGCCATTGTTTGTAGAAACCGAAAGAGGGCAACAGATCTCCTGGAGACCACAACTTCAGGCTCTGTGAGGTAGTATGCAGGTGATGGGAATTGAACTGTTGTCATCTACAAAAGCAGCAAATGCTCTTAACCTCTGAGCCATCTCTCCAGCCCTTCCACATGGCGATTCCTATCCTGCCAAAATAATATTGGACAAAACCTGTGTTCTCTGACCAGAGCTTGGGAAAACAAATAGAGACCAGCAACAAGGCAATGTTAAGAGTTGACTTTATATAGACTGTTTAATGTTCAAAGGTAAATCCTTACCAAAAGATAATTTTTAAACTAGACTTTTTATTAGCTTTCTCTTTCTTCACTCATTCTTTAAAACATTCTGTTGTTTTTTTCCCATTAGATATTAAAGTGTAAGAAAACTTCCCCCAGGATTGGAGGTTTAGTAACTTAATTACGTGGTTCATACTTAATTTTGGCATAATTACATTCTTTCATCTCTTTAATCTTATAATGACACTTCCCTCTTAGCAAGAATTTTAAGTAAATTGGTTAAAAACCCAAAAGGGACTGAGGATTTGCAATCCTAGGCCGGGCATGGAAATTTTTCACTTGCTTTACGAACGGTATTGCTCACAAAGAGGCTTTATTTGAAAGTGTTGGCGTGGATGGTGATGGGAGAGACTTGTTTACCTGAAAGGGTGTGACATTAGATTAGTCTGTTTGTCAGTGTATTTCATATGCCAGTTGCTGCCAGTCCCAGCTTACATGCGTCGAGTGTATGCTTGCTGCTGTTCGTTGAGAGTGTGTGCACATCCCTCACTGGCAGCAACATTACCAGAAGCAGATACACCTGTCTTCCCAGCTGGCCTTTGCTCGTGGGAAAAATTTCCCTTAACACCATTTTATCCTCCTGGACAGCTGTATAGAAGCTGCCCAAAGGTCTAAAAGACTTAAATTATTTCTGGAAAAATAACAACAACAAAAATGGTCTTCAATGGCTAAGCCAAGTTTGGCTTTAAAAACAGTGCTGTTTTGATTTCTTCAATTGGGAATGTGCTGGCTTCGTTCAATAGAAAAATGCTGTGTTTTTCACTGGTCTGAGTACTCCATTAGCTTTTTATTTTTCGATTTTTTTTTTTTTTGAGACAGGGTTTCTCTGTAGTCTTTGGAGCCTGTCCTGGAACTAACTCTTGTAGACCAGGCTGGCCTCGACTCACAGAGATCTGCCTGCCTCTGCCTCCCAAGTGCTGGGATTAAAGGTGTGCGCCACCACCACCCAGCACTCCATCAGGTGACTTGCTGGACATCAGTGTCTTCACAGGTTATCTTGTGGTTTGGTAGAAAGTAAATTGCTCTGGTTTAGTACAGACCTTAGCTAATCATGTATCTTATCTAATTTATGGCCATAACTCGTTTTATCCTGGTTTTCATATTTCAATTGTCTATTTTTCCGCAATGAATTAAGCTTTTTAGTCTAGGCTGCTTCTCCTGTTAACCACTTAGAGCGCACTACCAGCGTCACATTGTGTGTTGTGTGTTTCTTTCATAAATATCTCTTAGGAGGAAAAACAAATGAAGCAATGAAGAACTCATTTCACTGACCAAGAGCAGAGTGTATATTCCTTCTTAGAGGAGCCCACACTCATAGTCTTTCAAAATGTTAAGAAACATCTGTGGTGCTCATTGGTTTTTAATCAAGAGATACATTTATTACAATAAGATGTTCAGCTTTAAAGGTCTAGTCCACTGATGAGTCTGTGTGATCGGTATCCTGATTAAAATACTGAATTGGGCTGTTGTTAAAATATTTCCTTTTGATGTGCCTCTGTTAATCATGTGTAGCCATGGTTCTGTATGTTATTAGAGATTATTTTTACCTTTCCTAGAAGTTCATAAATATAACCAAAGAGTAGGTGGTCTTCAAAACAAAGTGCCTGGATTATTCCATTCAACTTAAAGGTTTTTATATTTATCGACATTGTAGATGATTATTTTGATTATGGTGGGACAAGAAATTTATGACCCATGTTAAAAATTATGGGATCAGTCATGAAAACCTGTAGCATTACAGACACTTGATTCTCTAAACTCACCTCGGGTTTTTGGGTTTGCTTTTCTGTGTCTCCACAGATTTGCTGGTGAGTCCCAAAAGCATACATAATGATTCTTAGCAGAACCACAAAACTCCTATCTTTGCCCTAGAAAGTTTCACAAACAAATCATTTAATCAAACAAGCAGATTAGGAGGCATGTTTTGAGATTGGGAAACAGCCTGGGTATCCGAGTATCCCCATGTTTCTTCATAGCTACACCTTTGGCGCCCCTTTGCATCCACACAACACTGTGGGTGGCGATGCAAGCATAACAGTCTGTAAGATTTTGGAGCTACAAAATTAGATGTTCCGCTGCAAGTCTTTCCTAAAACACATTTTTTTCATGGCATGAATATGGAAGGCTGTAAAGGGTGGTTTGGCTAGAATTCCTAAGGAATGTCACAAAGCAGTGTTGTCAGTTTGCAGGCAGTGTAAGAGGCTTTCCAAGAATAGCTTGTGGATAAATGGATTCATCGAATTGAATTAGAACTGTCTATGAGTGACGGCCAAAGCCAGCTTAGTTTTTGCTAGCTCCAGAAAGGGACACATGGAACTTGTGTTGATATGGAAGACTATCTTACAGAGCATGCGGCTGGAGGAACAGTAGCTCACACACTCAGGCCAGCAATATTGCAGGCTTGATGGGGCGCTTAGGAGTCCACTAGAGATTTTTAGATTAGAAAAACAAATTATATTTTTGGCACCAAAATGTGCTAGTTCACCTCATAGATGAGTCAAACGACAAATCAGTTTCAGGAAAGCCACAGACAAATACTTTTGCAAGCCTGCCAGTCCTCTACTTATTCTCCAGAAACACTTGGTATTATTAGTGAGCTAGAAAAATAAGTAAGTAATTGTTGAAAATAGTTCAAATGAGTATGTACCAAATGAAGGCAACAACCCCTCAAGGTGGACTGTTCAGTCAGAGATGACATAAAGAAAGAAGGATTTTGTAAATGTTTTCCAGACACAAATTTTGGTGCAGCGGATTGATTAAAATATGTGGGACATTCGTTCAATGGCAGAAAGATAATCAGAACACCATCCATCAGAGTGCTAATGCTCCCTCTTTGTTTTCCTTCCTTGTAGATCTACTAGAGCAACTTCAGGGACTGCTGAGTCCCGGAGTGGAGGAAGGGTTGTGTGAACAAAGAGTCTCTGCTCTCAGAAGAATGCAGAAACCTTCATCATAGGTAACAGCTGATTCCTGTCTTTAGTTTTGCGTTCTCCACGAATGAGTGAAACTGTAGTATAAAGATGGATAGCATCGTGGGGAACCTCAGGATGTCTTGAATTTGCTTTTCATGTGTCCTCTTTTCCTGGTTCTTATCCTTCCTGTGAAGTAGGTTCCAAGGTCATTCCGTAGCAGATGCTATCTTCACATTTGAACTAGGGTGACGTGGTGAAGCAGGCATCATTGCATCATGAGCTGGCTCCGTCCTACTTGAGTCACCAGTAGGAAGGGTTGTGATGATATAGAAGATGCTCCACAGTCTGTCGTCATTGTATTCTTTCCAGGCTCACTTTGACATTTAATTTATTGTAGGAGAGTCTTCAGCTTGTTACCTTTGTAGTTATTCCAATAAATCATAAATGGTTTGACATTGGGACCTAGTGCAAACCCTGATTGAATTCTATAGTATGAAAACTGCAGATGCATGAGACCTAACCACTGATCTTCCTCTGCTTCTACATCTTATACTTTAGTAATGAAAGCTGTCCACTGCCATACCCAGTGGTATTATCGTGAAAGATAGCAGAAAATGTCCTCATCCCAAGTTAGACCTTCTTGTTGTTTTATCTTAACAATATCTTTACCTTAGCTTGATTCTGTTTGCTTTTCCAGATTCAGCGATTTTTTGTTTTGTTTTGTATCCTTCTTTACACAGGCTATATTTTACTTAAGATAGTTTCATGTTTGCAGGAAAGTTCATTTGAAAATCCAGAGAATTTCTTTGTAGAATCTTTCCCAACACATACAACCTCCACTGTTATACCCTGTATTTGTGTAATAATTTGTTATAATTGATGACTCAATATTGATACACTCCTAAGTCCGTCATTCAACTATGGCTCCCTGCTACTCTGTCTATTCTTTGGGTGTTGAGAACTGTGTAATGACCTATTTTCATTGCTATTACGTAGATGCTTTAAAGTTTCCTGCTCGATTATATAGCCCACCCTTTCTTTGCTGATATTCTGGCAAGTTATTCTTTGACTGCATAATTTTGCCTCTTCCAGAATGTGATGTAATTTGGATCATAGCATGCATAGATGTTTCATATCAACTTTTTCATTTAGCAAGGGTGCGTGTGTGTGTGTGCGCGCACGCACATGGTTGTAGCTGATTTCTTTATACATCATAGTTTATTCATTCATCTGTTCAAATTGCTTCTAAGTTTGGGAGGTGTTTAAAAAAATCCTAAAGACCGTCATTTTCAAACTTACATAGCAACCTGTTTTCAACTCATTCAGATGTGTACCCAAGGATTATGTTGACTAAATCAAATATTAATAGAATATGATTTTGTAAGAAATCACCAAACTTTAGTACACTGCAGCTGTCATATTTTACATTTTTCACAATATGTGAGCAAGTTCCTGCTGTTCCCAGTCCTTACAGACATTTCTGTTGCCAATGCATTGTGTCTCACCATTGTAGTGGACACTCTGTGCTTTTCTATTGTCTACATATGAATAGAGCTGCTTATACAATAATTTTATTAAAATCTATTAAAACCAAACACTAGGTAGCATCTTCCTGTATTCTATTATGGAATGATATTAAGAATTTGAACTCTTTCTTGGGCCTTATTAACCACTGTAATGCTGTTTTGTAGGACATGTGCTTGGCATCACAGTGTGACAGTGGGCAAGAACTCTTCAAATAAATTATTGTGAGTGAAATATATATATATATATATATATATATATAGTACATCAAATCAAGTCATTTTTGTTCATAACCAAAATATACATGTTCTGTGGATCTTAGTTAAAGCAAATCATTTTTTATGCCCCACAATCTAGGTTTTTGCCATGAATATCATTACATACAAGGCCATACTGCTCAGAATACATCCCGTCACCTAAACTGGAAGATAAGGAGGACTGAACGTAGTTAGTACTTGGATGGGAAGCATCTAAGTAGAAACATCTGTGTTTCCTATAGATAGCCCCAAAGTTTCAATGATTCAGTTTATAATTTTTATCCTTTTATGATGGTATGAAACTAATTCACATCAGTTTCTATCTATTCAGTTGTTACAATTTTAACCTGAGCAACCTCTTCATGAGAGTGTTGAGAAAAACAGGGCTTTAAAACACAAACATTTGGTAGAATTGCCATTTTTACTATGTTGATCCTCCCAATCCAAGAGCAAGGGAGGTCTTTCCATTTTCAGAGACCCACACGGGAGCACCGGACAGAAATCTCAAGGTCCAAATCAGGAGCAGAAGGAGATGGAGCACGAGCAAGGAACTCAGGACCACGAGGGGTGCACCCACACACTAAGACAATGGGGATGTTCTATTGGGATCTCACCAAGGCCAGCTGGCCTAGGTCTGAAAAAGCATGGGATAAATCCGGACTAGCTGAACATAGCGGACAATGAGGAATACTGAGAATTCAAGAACAATTGCAGTGGGTTTTTGATCCTACTGCACGTACTGGCTTTGTGGGAGCCTAGGCAGTTTGAATGCTCACCTTACGAGACCTGGATAGAGGTGGGCAGTCCTTGGGCTTCCCACAGGTCAGGGAACCCTGATTGCTCTTCGAGCAGATGAGGGAGGGGGACTTGATCGGGGAAGGGGGAGGGAAATGGGAAGCGGTTGTGGGGACGAGGCAGAAATCCTTAATAAATAAATAAATTTAAAAAATAAAATAAAAAAAAATAAATAAATAAATAAAAAGAAAAGAAAGAAAGGGAAAATTGGCTGGGATTATAAGTTAGTGAGTAATAGAGTGAATACTTGTGAGCTATTATTTATAGGCAATTTACATTGGTATAGATTCTTGTATATTGATACAAGTTTAAATTACATTGAAAATGTTCCTATTTTCATCCACCATATTTGTATACCTAGGCAAAGTTATCTTGTCATATTGTATGCATGCATGCTTCTACCACTGCTTAAAACATTTTTGTATATTAATACAATTTTAGGATATATTTAAAAAAAAAACACAAACATTTTAGTTGCTCCAACTCCCCCCCCCCCATATACTTTTGATTTTCCAGTCAACAATATAAACTCTCTACAACATCTGTGGATGCACAGGTCCCTTCTGGAGTTTTCTCTTCAAGTGCAACCCTGCTTCTAAAGCAAGGGTATCCCTGTAACTGATGTTTTTCCTTTTGGGAGGCTTGCCACCCAGCTCCTAAATAAATACATGGAGATTTATTCTTACTTATGAATGCCCAGCCTCAGCTTATTTTCTTTCTATCCAGCTTTTCTAACTTAAATTATCTGGTTTCTCTTTAACTACATTTTACCACGGGGCTTTTACCTTTCTTTATATATCTTAGTTGTCTTCTTACTCAGTGACTGTCTGAGTTGGCTGGTGGCCCCTGGCATCTTCCTCTCCTCCACTTCTCACTCTTCACTTTCTTCCCTAGATTTCTTCTCCTATTTATTCCTTCTGCATGCCATCCCTTCTGATCCTTTCTCCTACCTCTATATTGGTTATTCAGTTCATTATTAGACCAGTTGGGGGTGTTTTAGGCAGGCAAAGCAACACAGCTTCACTGAGTTAAACCAATACAACATAAAACAATGCAACACATCCTAGCACCGTTAAATAAATATTCCACAGTATAAAAGAATGCACATCTTAAACTGTTATTCCACAAGATGCCCCTGATTAGAGATACCTCTAAGAATTTGGGGAGGAGAAGAAACTTGAGACCTCCAAATCACAGTTTCCCATAATAAGAAAGTAGGAAAGTAAATAAAGGAAAAGCAGAATACTGGTGAAAACACTGTTATTAATGATCCAGAGAAATCATAGTTTTATACCTGCATGCAGTCAATTCCAGAGAGAGATGAGCTTGACCTTTCCGTATAGATAAGTCTCTTCCCCTAGAACATGAGGATTGAGGTAAGGGCATTTTGATAATGAGCGCATTTCCCGAGTATATCAGTCATGTGGCATTCTTCTGTGGCTTCAGTTTCATTCTTTAGTTCAACTATTGTTTGTGCTTTCATTTTTATAGTCTATCTTGTCCAGTGACAATAAATCATTTTTACCATTCATAGAACCTCCAAATGTGATGTCAACAAATATTCCCTAAGTGCTAGAAATTTACAGCAGCTAGTCAGAGTCCATTGAGATGTGAGTAGAAGACTCTTGATTTCATTGGTACCTATGTTGAAAAGAGCCTTGCACAGTGTCTTACACTGAAAGTTTCTAAGAAGATAATTTCCGGCTTTAAGGAAGAAAATCAGCCAACAGTAAAGGAAACAGATTAAAGAGAATGAACAGGAAATGTAATTAGCATGCTAATTAGCTAATTAAAGGAGAAGAAACCAGAACTATACTACTGGCTGTGAAAAGGAAGCAGAGGTGGTTGGTTACATAGAGAGACTTGACTTAACTGGGGTGTATTTATTGGTCACCGACTAGATGCTGGACTCTGTTCTAGGCTTTCATAAGTTAGCAACGACAGCATGCTGTCTAGTCTAACAGGCTGCTGTGGACAGAGATATTGGTGTCTTCTTTAGAGGTCACACATTAGAAGCCTGACTTCAGTCTGTGCAGTTAGGAGCTAGATACTCAGGAATGTTGCAAGAGTTATACCATTCCTTCTGCCACAGGAGTGAGTTCCGGCAGCGCCTGAAAGGCTGCCCTGCTGATTTCAGCCTTTCAACCCCTAGAGCCTTCAGACACAAATTCTGTCGACAAGCCATCCATTTCAGTCAGCTAGCAAATTAAATAATGCCTGGAAAAATCTAAAGTGGACGTGATGTGTTGAAATTTGAGAATTGGATGCAAAAAATAAATACGGATTTGAACAGAGTTAGGGAAATGAAGGGGAAATGAGCAATAGGTTAAAATGTTAAGTATGGCGGTGTTAGAGTTCTCACTGGGAAGCCTGGGCAGATTTTTAAAGAAAGGGACTTTTGAGCTGGTACTCACAGGGAGAGGGAATGGACAAAAGAGAACATGGTAGCGCCCACCATTTGGAAAATT